CCCTGTCGCGTGCTAGTGTAGCCCAATGGCGTCTGTTCGTTCTAGGAACATGAAGAGCCTCAAACCGATCGTTCAGGGTCTTAAAGAAGAAGTCAAGTTTAGTTTAGTTTCATCACAACAAAAAAAATCAATGAAACCAAAAGTTGTTTCTTTGAGAAGTTCAACAAAACTCACATTCAGCAAGACTAAGAGAAAAGAGAGAAAGTGTTGAGGTTTTTTTTGTGTGTGTGTGTCACACCCGGTGATGCACAGGGGTTTTTCCTGGCTCATGCACTCAGGAATTACTCCTGGCTATGCTAGGTGGGCCATATGGGATGCTGGGAATCGAAGCCAGGTCGGCCACATGCAAGACAAATGCCCTACCTGCTGTGCTATTACTCCAGCCCCACAAAGTGTTTTTTTGTTTGTTTCTTTTAAAATTGTGTTTTTATGTCTTACTGAAAACAGGAGTGAAAGAGGGGACATTACTGTCAAGATTAAAAAAATTAAAAGATCATGGGTCCATGCCAGAGAGAAACTACAATGGGTAGGGCATTTGCCTTGCTGCAATGGGTAGGGCATTTGCCCAGTCTCCCCAGCATCCCATATGATCCAAAGAGTTCACCAGAAATGATTCCTGAGCACAGAGCAAGGACTAACTCCTTAGTATTGTCAGGTGTGACCCCAAAACCTAAAAAAAGATGATTATGGATATTAGAGATAGCACAGCAGGTAGGGTGCTTGCCTTTCATTCTGCCAATCTGGGTTCAATTCTTGGCTCCAATACTATCCCTCACCCCCCAGGAGTAATTCCAAAGTGCAAATCCAGTAGTAATTCCTGAGCATTTCTGGGTATAACCCCCAAATTAAAAAAGTATAAGGAAATATTATGAACAGTAGCACCGTAGCACTGCCCTCCCGTTGTCCATCGATTTCCTCCAGAGGGCCCAGTAACATCTCCATTGTGAGACTTGTTGCTACTGTGTTTGGCATATCAAATATGTCATGGGTAGCTTGCCAGGCTTTGCCGTGCGGGCAAGATACTCTCGGTGGCTTGCCTGGCTCTCCGAGAGGGGCCAAGGAATCAAACCCAGCTCATCCGGGCTGGCCGCGGGCAAGGCAAACACCTACCGCTGTGCTATCACTCCAGCCCACTATGAACAGTATTTGAATATATTAGGTAACTTAGGTCATTGGGAAAATTCCCAGGAAAGCACAAACTATAAAAGTTTTTTTCCAAGAAAAAATGGAAATCTGGGGGTTCAGGGCAATAGTACAGCATGTATGGCACTTGCCTAGCACACGACCAATCAGGGTTCAATCCTCAGCACCCCATACAGTCCTGAGTCCTGCCGGGAGTGATCCCTGAGACAGAAGTATAGCCTGAGCACCACTGTGTGTGGCCCAACAACCCACCCCAAAGGAAAAGTGAAAATATGAATATAAAGATAATAAAGAAAGCATTTGAATCAGTAATCCAAAAACTTCCAATGAAAAGAGTTCCCAATGCCATCATTACTTTTATTCAACATTGTACTTGTCAGAGCAATTAAGCAAAAAAACATATAGATCAGAAATGGAAAAGTTCAAACTCTATGTACTGAAGATATGATATAATATGCAGGAAATCTGAACCTACTAGAAACTTTTGTAGCTAATGAATCCATTTGGCCAAGTTATAACTAGATTAGGAAGTTGTGGTACAGATAGCCAATGGAATACTACTCTGCCACTACTAAAGATGAAATCACATAATTTGGGACAAAACAAATAGACTATGAGGTGACTATGCTAGGTAAAAAGAGTACAAAAGTGAAAAACAATTATTAGATGAGTATATGTGGAATATGAATTACTAAGATAAACAAACTAGCAAAAAGTAACAAAACTCTTTTATTCAGTGAAAACTATGGTGCTTACCAGAGAAAAAGGAGAGATAGGTATGAGAAGTAAGTGGGTTATTTGGGAGTATTTGGGCCACAACCTCAGTGCTCAGGGATTAGTCCTGGGCCGTGCACAGATGCTTAAGGGACTATATGCAGTGTGCTATTGAATCAGAGTTGACCTGGTCACACACAGGCAAAAGCCTTAACTACAGCGTTATCTCTCTCTCCAGGCTCTAGAAGATTCTTTTATTGGTGGCTGAAGGATGCAAGAACACAGAAATGTAGTTGTGTTTTTATACACTCAAACAATAAGAGACTGAAATTAAAGAGAATAATTCCATTTGGAAGCACATAAAAAAGAATGAAATAATTAGAAATACATTTAACAAAAGAAGTGTCAGGCTTATATACTGCAAACTACAAAACATTACTGAAAGAAATTAAAGATGATCTACATAAATGAAAATATGCTTTTGTTAATCAAGAGCATAAGTTTGGAGATGATATTATTACAATGACAATATTCCCCATGCTAATCTAAAAATTCAATAAAATCCTTATCCAAATTCCAGCTGCCTTTTGGGAACCAAAATTGATAAGCTAGTCCTAAAATTCAGAAGAAAATACAAAAAACCCAGAATAGTCCTGAAAAAGAAAAAATAAAGTTGAATGACTCACACTTCCCTATTTTAAAGCTTTTTTAAAAAACAAAGTTATGCGATGAAGACAGCTGGGTCATGATAGAAGGACATAAATAGATCAATGGAATATATTAAGAGGACAGAAATAAACCCTCTCATTTATAGTGAATGGATTTTCAAGAAGTGTGTCAAGATGAAGCAATGAAGTGCCAAGAATAAGAATAGTCTTAAAGGTTGGGGATGTGATTCAGTGGTAGAACATACATGTGTGAGGCCCTTGGTTTGATGGAAAAATACATAGGGATAGATAGATAGATAGATAGATAGATAGATAGATAGATAGATAGTCCTTTTAACAAACAGAGCTTGAGGGGCCAGAGAGATAATACAAAGGGTATGTAATGATAAGTAAGAAACTAAATTTAATAAGAATTACGAAACTGCAAAGGGGCTGGAGCGATAGCACAGCGGGTAGGGCGTCTGCCTTGCACGTGGCCAACATGGCCGATGAAACTGTAATGTGAACTAAGAAAATATAATGGGGACTGGGAAACAGGAAACAGAAGCCTACCTTAAACAAGAGAAAGGAGGAAGAAAGATTCCTTTTACTCCCTCCAGGCCACCAGATTTATGGGAGTGTATTGACCTGATGAATTTACTGGAATGCCCAGAGATGACACCTGAGGGTGGCGCAAAATGGGTAGGAGATACTGTCACGGACTGTTTTGCTTTTGGTGCCTGAAGGCCATACCATAGGGAAAAGACGCTTTGATTGGATCTTTTTTTTGCGGGGGGGGGGGGGAATGGAAGATTGATTTTATTTTTTTTCTTAAATTTTTATTAGTGAAACACCGTGAGGTACAGTTGTAGACTTAAAAATTTTTGTGCTTAGGTTTCAGTTATATAATGATCGAATACCCATCCCTCCACCAGTGCCCATTCTCTACCACCACTGGTCCCAGTATCCCTCCCATTCCATCCCCCCATCCCACCCTACCTCTGTGGCAGGGCATTCCCTTTTGTACTCTCTCTGCTTTTGAGTGCTGTGGTTTGCAAAAGAGACATTGAGTAGCAATCATGATGAGAGTAGACTATAGACGGAACTTGATTGGATCTTTTACCGATTATCTCTTTATCTCCTGTATCACTGATAAGAAGCTATGTAGACTCTAGTCCACTCTAAGAGGATAAAAGAGAGACCCTCTCAGCAAACAGGGCTCTTTTTACTCAGCAAAACATCTCTTTCTTTTCTGACTTGGGGTCCTCAGCGCTGAGCTTCTAACAAACTTACTATCCTGTCCTGAGGTGTCTCTCTCTGTTCATTCATGGCTCGCACCAGCAAAACAAGATAAGCTCTTGCCTTGCATGCAGCCAACACAGGTTTGATCCCCAACACTCCACATGACCAGAAATAATCCCTGGGCACAGAGCTAGGAGTAAACCCTAAGCACCTCCTGGTGTGACCCCCAAAACAAAAAACAACAAATTAAACTTGGGTAACTGGGTATAATCAGCAAAATAAAGAAAGAAAAGTAGGAGTTCTCCCACTTAGAATCTATAAAAAGGGACTTTAAAAGAATTAAACTTAGGTAGGGTGCATGCTTTGGCATGTGACCGAAAGAATTTTGATCTCCAGCATCTCATATGGTCCCCCAAGCACCATCAGGAGTGATTCCTGAGTGTAGATCTAGAAGAAACCCCTGAGTATACCCTGATGTGGCCCAAGACCCAAATAAAATCAAATGTAGTAGCCTGGGAGACTGCAAGATAGACAGAGGTAAGGAGCCTGCCTTGAATATGCTCAGGCTAGGTTCTATCCTTGGCAACATATGGTGTCCAGAATCTTCCTGGTGCATCCTCAGAGCCCCTGAGCATCAGTGGGTGTAACCCTGGAGGTCCCAAAGCACTGCTAGGTGACCCCAGATGGTCCCCTGGCATTACAGGATCTAAACAGCACCTTGGGCCCTAGGACTGAACTGTTGGTTAGCTACCACCAGGAGTGATCTCTGGGCTACATAAAACTGCAATGGTGAAAAGGTCATGAAGAAGTACAAAGTGCTCCAAGAGCCTGATATAGGGGAGGGGGCAGCCCTCAGCAAGTGCTTCCTGAGGAACTGATGAAGTGAGTCATGGTAGATAGTGTGGAGTCACTAGGAGAAAGAGAGAGGGAAATATTCCAGAGAGGCAATGGCCTGTCCATGCACAGAGTCTTAGGTAGGAAGGAGCATGGCCTGGCAATAGAAAGCATTGCAGTGGGCTCTGAGTTCAGAGGCATCCAGGGGTCAAGGCAATCTGACCACTCTAATGGATGAAGGCTTTTGATCATTGTCTTGAATCCAAAGGGAACTAATTGAGGGTAGAAAGAGAAGGGTGATATGATTGGATTGGCAGTAGGAAAAGATCACTGTGGTTCTGTTAGCGTAATCGTGTATTTTCCCACCTCCTAAAAAGAATCAAGTGTTTAAAGGTAAGTACCAAAGCCACAAAACTCTTTCCAACACGGATATCCTAGGAGGTCACTCTTCCCTGGGCACTCTCCAGGTATTACAGAGGAGTATAGGGCTCTATCCTGTGTTTTACAGTTCCTTTCCACACCATTGGACATCAAACCAGCCTTGAGTCTGCACCTGCATATTCCTACAGCTTCTCAGAGTCTTCTGGAAGATGACTGGGGAGACAAAGCACTCAGGAAGAAGGTGGGAACCCTATATTTTGTGTGCTTGATTTTGCATCTGGCTCTGTGCAGGGGGCAAAGAGTGGGGGTGACTCCTGACAGTGCTCAGTGGACCACACAATGCCAGAAATGAAACTTGGGCCCACTACCTGAGTAACCTGTACTCAGGCTGTTAAGCCCTCTCTGGTCCAGAGATTTGTCACTTTTCTGGATTTTTTTCAAAGAGACAATATTTAGTTAAGCTCATTTTTATTTACATTTTTGGTTTGGGGACCACACCCAATGATGCTCAAGTCTTGCTCCTGACTCTGCACTCAGGGATCAATTGTGGTGGACTGGGGATACCATACGAGGTTGTTACAACTTGAGTTTATTATAACAGAATGAGATAGTCAAAAAACAGAAGGGGAGTAGGACAGAAGTTTATTTCGTCGAGTAATGTGGCAATAGTACAGTGGGTACGGTGTTTTCCTTGCATGCAGCCAACCTGGGTTTGATCCCCAACATCCCATATGGTCTCCGAGCACCTCCAGGAGTAATTCCTGAGCACAGAGCCAGGAGTAATACCTGAGCATCACTGGGTGTGACTCAAAAACAAACAAACAAATAATAAAATAAAATGAGCCTCAGTATGGCCGGTCTTGGGACTCTGTGGTAGAGCACTTGCCTTGCATGTATGAATCCCGGGTTCAATTACCAGCACCATAAAAATTGGTCCAAAACCATGATGGCCTCTCATTATCTGTATTGCAAACCATAATACCCAAAAGGAGAGAGAAAAGAAAAGTGCTCGCCATAGAGGCAGGGACTGGGATGGGATGGGGGTGATGGGAAGGATATTGGGGACACTAGTGGTGGAAAATGTACACTGGGTTTTCGATCACTGTGTGACTGAAACTCAATCATGAAAGCTTTGTAACTGTATCTCACGGTTATTCAATTTAAAAAAATTGGTCCAAAAAGGGACTGCGGGGCCAGAGGGATAGTACAGTGGGTAGGATATTGCCTTGCATGCGACCGACAAGGTTTATTCCATGGCATCCCATATGTTCCCCCAAGCACCACCAGGATTAATTCCTGAGTGTAGGGCCACGAGTAATCCCTGAGCATTGCGAGGTGTGACCCAAAAAGGGACTTGAAGATAACCCAGTGATTTGTTTACTTCTTTTGGAGTCGACCATGGCAGTGGTCATGATCCTTGGGAGTCACACCTGGCCATGATCTTGGGAACATGTGATGCCAGGGATCAAACCTGGGGCTCCTGCATGCAGAGTCTGCATTACAGTCCTTGAAGCCTGTTTTACATGTGTGATATCTGTTCAAACCAGGCTACAGGCAGCCCCCAAGCAGGGCTGGATGTGACCCTGTATCCCCAGTGAAGTCCATGGGCCCCCTAGGTGACTTACGTGAAGTGGAGAGGAGAGATAACACTTTCTCCTGATCAACTTCTGCCACTCTGCGTCTGGCTGGGAAGTCTAGGACTGATAAAATCTGCAATGAGCCCCAGTGCACCATGAACCAGAGTCCTGCCAACCCCGCTAGGTAGCTATCTAGCCACTCTTGATTTTTACTTATCCTCAGCATGGGAGTTAATCCCTACCACCTGATTTTTGGGGGAGCTGTGGATTCAGGCTGCAGCAAGGATTTGCTCTTTGCACGAGAAACAAAAAACAGCCCTATGCCTTACCCAGGGCTTCCAGGTTCTTGTCTTTCCCACAGAAAATAATTCCAGGAGATGTGCAGTGAAGTAAAAACAGATTTTATTTGGAGGCCTTTTGAGGAAGGGAAGGAGGGAGAAAGATGGAGTAATGTGTTCAAGAGAGAAAGCTGGGCCGACTTCTCCAAAAATGGAGAGATCCTTAAATGATGCTTAATACCGGCTTTTATTGGATAATATTAGGATTTGCCTTCATCTGGAGTTTTCTGCTGGAGGTGATAGTTGATTAGATATTATCATAAAAGAAGGACTTTGAAGTTTTTGGTGAATCTCCTTCAAGTCCTTATCTTAGTCTCTCTGGGTCCAGCCACCTCAGGGTCTGTTTCTGGCACTAGGAAGGTCTTACCAGGCCTTTGTTCCTGTGTTCCTCAAGTGGTGGGCTTTTTGCAGCCTTCAGGATATAGGTTTTATTATTTTACAGGAATGCCATTGGCATGGGGGCCCTTTCCTATCTACCCACCTGCCTCACCAACATCATGCAGGGTCTGAGCGCAGCTCCACATTCTCTGGTCACCACACTGAACCACCTGGCCTGGCTGGTCATGTGGTATCAGGAGAGGCTCTAGGCACTCCTAGGGAACTTCCCCTACCCCAATAGACAACATATTTGAATATCTATTTCCAAAAAAAGGAAAGTGTATGAAAATGTCCATTAACCTAAAGGAAGAGGTATATGAAAAAGCATGCCTTGTAATTTCTTCACAACTCCAAAATGGCTATAATGCAAGAGAGGGACACTGAAAAACCGTGACAAGAAAGTAGACGGCCTCATTCCCAGGTGGACTAGAAGGTATGCGTGTGTGTGCTTTGGCAAGGAGCCTGGCAATTCCTCCAGCTGTGAGCATAGAGTTACCATAGGATCCAGCAATTTCCTAGCTGTCTGTCCCAGAAAAAATGAAAATATCGTGTGATAAATCATTCCCCTAACAAAAAATCCCAGAGATTGGGATATTCCCCTAGGTAAAATAGTTTAGGTTTTAGAATACAAAGGGTTTGCAAATGTGCAGGAAAGAATAGAATAGATAGGGCTGGAGGGCTAGTACATTGGAGGGCGGTTGCCTTCCACATGGCCAAACCAGGTTATATTCCCCCCCCCCTCCCCAGTCCATCAGCACCAGTCAAGCATAGAATAAGACTGTTTAGGGTCTTTTAGAAGCAGGGGGAGGGGCTGGAGCACAGCAGGTAGGGCATTTGCCTTGCACGCGACCGACTCGGGTTCAATTCCCAGCATCCCATATGGGCACCCCCCCAGCACCACCAGGGGTAATTCCTGAGTGCGGAGCCAGGAGTAACCCCTGTGCATTGCTGGGTGTGACCCAAAAAGAAAAAAAATTAAAAAGACTTGGAGCTGGAATGATTGATAGCACAGCAGGTAGGGCATTTGCCTTGCACGCGGCCGACCCGGGTTCGATTCCCAGCATCCCATATGGTCCCCTGAGCACCGCCAGGAGTAATTCCTGAGTGCATGAGCCAGGAGAAACCCTATGCATCGCCAGGTGTGACCCAAAAAGCAAAAAAAAATTAAAAATTAATTTTAAAAAATTAAAAAGACTTTTATAATTTAAGGGTGCTTGCTGATTGACTGTAAAATACCCCACTCTTCATGTACCTATTGTATGTTGATGTACTTGGTAATTTTCCTTAATGTCTCTATCAGCTCAAATATTGAGACCTCAGGTCTGGGAGCAATATGGCATTAAATAAATGGCCTGCCTATGAGACCAGTCTTAGCTGCTGAGGTGACCCTAAACCTAAAAGACAGTCCTTTTGTGTCTGTCTCATTCTCTGCCACCAATCCCTGTTGGATGGAGGTCGAAGGTGCCAATCCAGTTGGCATTAGGCAATATCTCCAAACATGTACCTGAATGCTCCTACCAGCATCAATCGTGATAGTTAAAAACATAGGCACCGCCCAAACATCCCTCAAGGGATGAATGAATAAATAAGTTGTGGTAGACATGGAATATTCTGCAATAAAAAGTCATAAAGGTGCCAGAGCTACAAAGCAGCAGGTAGGGCAATTGCCTTGCACGTGGCCAACCCAGGTTTCATCACCAGCATCCCATACGATTCCCTGAGCACTTACAGGAGTGATTGCTGAGTGTAGAGCCAGGTGTGAACCCTGAGCATAGCTAGGTGTGACCCAAGAACAACAACAAAAATCCTACAACTTGGTGCTGGAACAATAGTACAGCGGGTAGGGGACACAGTCGATGTGGGTTTGATCCCCGGCATCCATCTGGTCCTCCAAGCACAGTTAAGAGTGATTCATGAGTCCAGAGCCTGGAGTAACCCCTGAGCACCACTTGGTGTGACTCAAAAACACAATTAAAAATTAGAAAATGAAATATGTAAAAATTATAAAGTTCTGGGGGCTGGAGCGATAGCACAGTGGGTGATGCATTTGCCTTGCATGCCGCTGACCCGGGTTCAATTCCCAGCATCCCATATGGTCCCCTGAGTGCCGCCAGGAGTGATTCCTGAGTGCATGAGCCAGGAATAACTTCTATGCATTGCCGGGTGTGACCCAAAAAACAAAACAAAAAATTTTTTTATATTATGAAGTTCTGATAGGTGCTAACCACATATGAATTTTAAACACATTATCCTAAGGGAGAGAAGTCAGTTATAAAACATAAAGCACAAATTGCATGATTCTAATTTTCTATTTTCAGCTAAGGAGCCAGATTCCCCCTTTATAAACGTGATACATTAACAAATCCATTTATATTCCTCTCTCCTTCCCCTCCTATCACTGTTGTTGATTATATCAGGGTGATGTAAGGTGACATACACCCCAGTCTGAGGTGCAGGCACATCCCTCTTGGTGGGATTCATGAAAGGGAGGTGCCCTGAAGGTGGCGGTGCTCGTCTAATCAGATTCTTGCATGTGTTCTCTGGGTCTGAGGCACACTATTTACTGTGTGGACTCCACTGAATGTGGCTGTGGTGTCCGCATATGGGCTCACCAGAGTTTCCACTTGCTAGGTCCAAAGATAGTACAAGCAGCCGACCCTGATTTGAGTCCTGTTGTCCCATATGGTCCCCCAACCTCTATTCGTACTGATTCCTGAGTTCAGTAAGGAATAACCCCTGAACAGCTCTGGGTGTGCCACACCCTCCCCCCAACAACAACAAAATAGTTTCACATGCTGTTCATTGTACTCATACATATTTTGGTTTTTTTCCCTTTGGTTTTTGGGCCACACATGGCAGTGCTCAGAGCTTACTCCTGGCTCTTCTCTCAAGGAACACTCCTGGCAGGTCTCAGGGGACCCTAGGGGGTGCTGAGGATTGAACCAAGATC